ACCGCTGTGTTTTGAACTTAAGTTTTAGTATCCATGCCACCAGGTGCGGTGGCTCACACCTGTAATCCTAGCACTCTGGAAGGCTGAGGCGGGTGGATTGCTTGAGCTCAGGAGTTCGAGACCAGCCTGAGCAAGAGACCCACTCTCTACTAAAAATAGGACCCCCCCCCACAAAAATTAGCAAAGCACGGTGGTAGGCACCTGGAGTCTCACCTCACCTCACCTCCCACCTCACCTAGTGGGAGGCTGAGGCAAGAGGGTCATTTCTGCCCAGGAATTTGAGGTTGCTGTGACTATGATCCCAGGGCAACAGAGAGAGACTTGTCTCCAAAAAAAAAAAAAAAAGTTTTAGTATCCAGAAGGCTGACAGTCTTTACCGCACTGGGTTGGACAACTAAATGAGGACTTTTCTGATATACAGACATGCACTGTGTGCTATTCAGGTGAGGGGGCAATTTATATTAATTTATGGGATTTTTCAGGAGTCATTAAGACTGCAGGATTTTTGCCTTACCTGCTGATAGTAAAACCCTTGGTTAATTGCAGGTCCCCTGTAAGCCTTCGAATGATAATAGGTCTACTGTTTTGGGAGATCTCTTAGGGCCATTTCTATAGTTGGGCCATGGATGATACACACCTAACTACAGAGACGAGGCTAGTAACCGCCCACATATCACACAAGGGTATGTTTGCTAATAAAAGCTATAGTGGGGCAGAATGACAACCAAAAGCTAAAGTTCCAAAATGAACTGTCAAACTGGCGTCCAGTGCGTATTTCTTTTATACTTACAAAGCAAAAACTCAAAATAATTTTGGCAACTTAATGGTTTATGTCAACATCTGGTTCCAACAACAACCGGAAATAATATTTCAAGGGTTCCTAAGCACACTTCAGAGTTTTATATTTACTAATTAGAATAATTCCTTGGAACAATTTTTAGGTATTACAAAATATTTTTAGAAGATAATTGAGTTCATCTGTGACCTAAAGAAATAAAATACTGAAATGAGTGGGACTGCATTAATATATAAAGGCGGGTGGTCTTTATCTGTGCTTTAACTACGTGACCTACCTCCTAAAATCCAAAGCAGAGAGTTAGAGAAAATAAAGTGCAAGGGAAGGAAAGGAATAATGAATTCTTTTAACTTTTATTTGATTATTTTCATTTACAGTTCTGGCACTGACACTTAAAAAAAAGATTTTAATTTTATGTAAAGATTGAACTTCAATAAAATAACTTAAAAAACATTTACATGTATATCACTAAATCTCCATAAAATATACAATACTTTTGATACAGCATAGGCTAAGATGACTTTGAAGGAAATGGTACATATTCATAATTTTTAGGAGATAATCCCATATGTCACTTCTGAGAATAAATATTTATATTGAATTTGCCAAGACATTTGAAGTATTAAACACTATATAACATGCACTCAGAAATTAAAATATACAGTTTGAAATACATATATTTTAAAAGCATAAAACTGTGTTTTGATTTAATCTAGGTGTACACTAGAGCTTCTAAATAGAAATTTGAACATTTATTACAAATAAAAGATACTATAACATCAACGGAGATTGGACATGTGGAATATAAATTTCTACTTTGGCAAGAGTTAAATCTCATCTTTTTAAACCTTTTCATGAGATGGAATCATGTTAAATTTGCTAAAATTTTAAAACTTTACAAAACATTGGCTTTTAATTTTAAGTACTAGTTAGCTGCTGGCTGCTCCATTTCTCTTTTTCGTATTTATATTAATATGATCAAATCGAATGATAAACTTAGTTTCTAAAATAAAAATCTGTATATTACTGCTAAAGGAGGGTAATTAAAATCTCAGACATCAAATTACTCAAGTACAACAGACTATATTTTATACATATAAAGATTTATAGAAATTATATTTTATATTCACAAGCAAAGTATAGGGATAAAAAATACTTTCAAGAACGTCTGAACATCAGTACTTTTACAAAACATCTCTCTGATGATTATTGGCACATAAATATTTCCTTCTTTAAAGAGACAGTATACAAGAAAGAGTGGGTAGCAGTCAGCTGTTTGGCATTTTAAATGATGATTGCTATTTCTAGAAAATAGCAGCAATATTGCTTACCTAGAAGAATTCAATGTACTGACAATTTATACATTGTTACAACCTGAACCACTTCATCAAATTAGCTTAACATTTATTGTACATGAGGCTAACCAGATTGATAAATGTGATAGGAAACAAGACGTTGAAATTAATACAGACAACAATTCTGATTTATCAGCAGCTGTTACATATGGACTATAAACTTCACCCACAATTTAATACATTTTTGTATGAAGCACACATTATGAATTCTCTGCTCCTGGCCTGGTATGTCATCTAATTCTTTTGTTCCTAACTAGGAAGGGGTCTTAATGGAAAACTTGTCACCTCAGCTGATTAAAAATAAGTTAAGTATTTAGTATGATTTAATATTTTATAACTTGGAAAATGTTAGAAAAATCTGATTATAACAAAACATCACATTTATTTTATTTTTAATTATGTTGATGAAATAAAATCAAAATAATCCTCTAACTCTCCTCACTGAATTACAGTATCTATGAACTGTATTAGTGTCACTGAATTACATACCACGACTATGTTAGATAAACACATGGATAGAGTTTTTTAAAATATCCTTCCACTCCTCCAACCTTCTGGATCTGTGGGTTATTATAATACATTTTCAGTTTTTTACTTAGCTATTTAAAAGCAGAAGGGTAAGTTGCCATGTTATATTTTTCCTGGTCATCCTGTATAAGATACTGTAATTACAGTAAAAAATTTGTAACTCCCTTGCTTTCACCAATTTCCCATTTTAGAGTGAGAATAACTGAAAAAATAATTGGAACATGCTTGTGTACTAAAATATGGTTCAGTGGTAAAATTAAATTATGAGAAAGCACTTGGAAGCATTCTTCTCTTAGCATTTTTTTCTGAACTGATTACTGTCCATGGCTGGAAACAAAACTTAAAATGGAAACGTTACCTTTTCTTATTTAGATCTTCTAGATAGATTAAAAATAATCATGTTTTGAGTAATGATTCGGTGTAACAATCAAAATAATTAGAAATGTTTAGTTACAATGAAAAAAATATAAACAGCAAATCTTTTTGACATCACATTCTGCCTTATGTTTTTATATGCAAAGTAGCATATTCTCTTAAGTCTAGTGCAGATCAGCCATCCAGCTAAGCCTCAGTAGGTGTTAGGACTATCTTCACTATACCGTCCCAAAATATAATAGACCTCTATTGAATCTGCAGCATGTTTCAAAGGAAACCTATTAATTTCAGTTGAAAGCATGAAGCTTAATCTGTGTCTGTTTTAATACAGTCAAATCACATCATATATAAACTATCCTACAAAATATATATTTGATGATATTTCTGATGGTATGTTTTCAAGTTAATAGTGTTAGCCAAAGACGCTGAGAACTTAAAAGGTGCATAATATAAAAAAACCTGCAAAATTTAAACATTTAATTTTAATATACTATAAATGCTCACCAAATCTAAAAATAATACCCTAATTGTATAAGGTTCCTTTTCAAGTAGTTATTTGTTTCTAAAAAGTTATAAATAATTCTTATACTGTGCCTCTCTGTCTTATACTTCAAAGATACGGAATATTTTCTTTATCACTATATAAATAACAAATAGTCCTTTAAAGTAGGGGCTGAAGAGAATAGGGGAGGAGAACTGTGGCTAATTTTCCCTGTTGTTATGTGCGTTTATGGATATAAAGTTGAAAACATCTTCCTTTTTTATTTATGTCAGGGAGAACAGGCCATGTTCCACTTTAGGAAATAATTTAAGAGTCCAGTTGCTTCTTTAATAAAGTTACTGTGCATCAGCCCAGCTGAGTATAGAAGTGTATAGTTAAGGCTATGTATACAAAAAAGAGAAGAATTGAGGCAATTATTTGGGTAAATCAGAAAAATAAATTTTTCGAGAGCACTTTATTGGTTTAAAAGTTTTTCTTCCCAACATATTCTCATTGTACCACACAAAAGCTCATTTTT